TATTTGCATTATGAGTCATGATACTTCAAAATGTGCTTAACTGTCATGAAAACAAAGTCACAATGTCAAAACTCTTAATGATCCTCATGCACAAATATAATTTCTTATTTTTCTGTTGATTTGGGGGTGAAATGTGACTTGAATACATAAGATTAACACATCTAAACGCCATCTGCTCTTTCAAGACTTATTTACGTCTTTGCTCTGAAAGTTACCTCTCTTTGGGAACTGAACGAGTGATCAGACATGAAAACAAACTGGCACATGTTGGGTTGGATGTCTGACTGCACTGCATGCCCTCTAGATACACCACATAATAATTAAAAAAGCCCTAAATAACAATACTGTCATTCACAAAGCACAGCAAGAAATGACAAGAGCGTTTAATGTTTCAGGAAGGCGTAATGTGAACCCATGGGATGCCTACTGTCTGAGCTCTGCACACAAGTAGTCTGCTCAATGCATTGTGTCTCAAGGCTCATTGGATTTGTGATAAGGCAAAACATTGAAAGAACACTCAAAGCGCTGCAAGCTCCGGTTCTCCTGAGTGTTTTATTGTCACTATATCCAATAAGTGTTGTGATCCTCTCAAACTCAGTTTAACGACTCAAGCATAGACTAAAGCAAGCAAAAGCTTATACCTTGAGCCGTGCAAGTGCAAAAATACAACATCAAACCTATTTACTTGCCTAATAAACATCACGGTCTTACTGTGCATAAATTATCAGTGCAGAAATTATTGTATTATGTTAACTAGTAACCGAATGGGTTTTTAGGCAATGTTATAGCAAACTTGCATTCAGGTCTGGATTCATTCCGGTATGAAACATCCACTTTTCATGATCCGATTAATTCCAATTCAATTCCAATGAATATACTGAATTCAATATGATTTTTTAGCATCATTACTGCAGTCTTCATGTCATATGATCCTGCAGAAATCATTCTAATATGATGATTTGATGCTCAAGAAACATTTATTACTGTATCAATATTGAAAAGTTGTGATGCTTAATATTTTTTTATGGAAATCATGATAGACGTCCCCCCCTGAATTTCTTTAATCATTAGAAAGTTGAAAATAACAACATTTATTGGAAACAACAATTTTTGTATTTATAACAATACAAAAGTCTTTACTGTCACTTTTGGTCAATTTAATGCATCCTAGCTGCATAACTACTAATACCATAAATATTGCTATAAATATGTAAAAATATATAAAATGACATATTGTGCATCCCATAGATAGTTAGACAGACAGACAGACAGACATATATTGATAGATAGATAGATAGATAGATAGATAGATAGATAGACAGACAGACAGACAGACAGACAGATAGATAGATATGTTTATCATCAAGTACTTCTGAGACTGTCTCATTAGTGTATGTTTTTAATTCCTCAAGACGTTTAGGAGAAACATCAGATATAAAGTTACTTAAATGTGAACCCGAGTTATAAAAGAGCAACGTCTGAGCAACCAAATTTTCCTCTGGGCTCAGATTTGTGAGGAAAAGTGCAGCTTGAATAAAATAAAAATTCCCTTCATTTAATCGTAATATTGTACGTGGCATTTTGAGTCACATCTCAGCTGGCCTAATGATCATTCAAGGCATTTTCTAAAACTACGAGTAGCTAACACAACACAAATGAAACACTTTAAACATTAGAGAGCACAAATAAGATCCCAGACATCGATTATGAAGTTATAATCTGATAAAAGTGTATTACAAGGACCGCAGTATTGTCTTGGCAGCCCAGTCAGTGGAAATTACCAGAGAAAAATGGCACAAAAGACATTCGACACTTCAATCACACCATCCCATGAAGGGGTGAAACTCATTCCCCGGGTTATTTGACTGTTTGAGGTCAAGAATTGTGCAAACCGTGGCTGGTAATACAAACGGCAATGCTGAAATTAATTTGTAATTAAAGGAGAGCGTGGGCTGATTGCACAGCCGGGTCATCGGCAGGAGTGAACTGTCCGTTTCTGTCAGTAAACAGAGCACTCAGGCGAGCAGTCAGTAATTAGCTGAACGGTCAGAGCTCACACCCGGGCTAGAACCTCTCAATTCAGAAGACAATCTAATGAGACTTTATAGTAGAAGCCCATAAACAAAATTAGTTGCAGCCACAGAGAATCTGCACCAATTATTCTACATTATCTTCTCAAAAAACAATCAGCTTTTTCTGGATGCACCTCAATCAGAGGGAAAAAAAGGGGTTTAGAATAATACATTTGCGATTTAGCTTGAGCAAGAGTTCTGATGTACTAAATAACTGAGAAACCTGCATTTCAGGCCAAAATTGAAATAAATAAATATATATATATATATATATATACAATTTTATATATAAACTTTAATTTTAAATTATATATTTTTTAAATATTTGTATATTTAAACTAGTGCTGTCAAAATTAGCACGTTAACGCAGGTGATTATTTTTTTCAGTTTAACGCATTAAAAATATTTAACACAATGAATGCAGGGGCGAAGCTGGGGTTAAACCCCACTCAAAATTGCTGCTTCTGTCTCTTTTTTTCTTGACAAGAATTGTGTTTATCCAAAAAGGTGATTAAAGCTGCCTTAAAACTGTGCATGCATGTAATATATTATATATGAGTTACATTTAAGAACATGTCTCTGAAATGGTTTTCAAAACTGTCCTGGAGCCCAGCACTGTCTCACTTATCTAACACGCCTTATTTAACTCGTCAGCTCATTAATAGAGACTTTAAGACCTGAAGTGGGTCAGAAAAGGTGAAGAGAGTTGAGAGAATATACGATGCGTGTCAGATTCGCATCACGTTTAGCAGCGGCAGCTTTTAAAGTAATAGCAGCCAAAATAACCTAATAACTAGCTGCTGTGATGACTGTTAATCAAAGAAAAAAAAGAAAAAAGACAAAATCAATAACTTTTATGGCTTTAAGGATTCATCTATATTTAATTTAGAATTTAGTGTTTGTACTTTCAGTTTATTTAGATTTAATTTTCTACTTGCTGAAGGGCACAGGTATATATGACATTTATTATAATGGGGTTTATGTGAAGATTGTTTTAAGTTAACTTAAATTAGAAGTAATTTTTTTAAGTCTTATAAATTATAAAGTTGATAGCTCTCAATTATACTGTAATGTTGAATGGCTATAGTCAATGGTTAAATATTAGGAAAAAAGCTATTTCCTAGAGACATCAATAGTATTGGTATCAGTGATACTTGCCTTCAGTCATAAAAAGTATACATAAGTATACAAATATTAAAAATATAGTGTCTATGTTGTAATAAAGACATTAATTTGAAGATTGAATGTGAAATTATTGCAATATAAAAGTACATTTAAAAACTTTAATGTTAGGTGGGATTAATCGCGATTAATTTCAGAAAAAAATGTGTGATTCGGTCATTTTTTTAATCGATTGACATCACTAATTTAAACTAAATATTAGCTAAACATTTTAGAAGCTTCAGTTTTAAAACAAATATTGAAACATTTTAAAATATGTACATACCTATGTATTTTTCCCCCAATATTGAGGGAAAATAATTTTTCTGAATTTCTTTAATTAATAGA